TGCAGCGTCCTATAAAGGCAGTTTTCGGCTGCCAACCATTCTGCCTGCAATCTTGTGCGTACCGTTTATCGTTTGAGAGCCTACCAAAATACCTTTTTTTCAGGACGGAGTGACGGGCTCAGCTTTGCAGAAAGTATGCAGGGTAGATACTGGCTGACGAGTGGGCATATATTTGATCGATACGAGGTTAATTTACACGCAAGCATTCCTATGGTTCTGGTTTCAGCAAGCAGTGGTCGAAATCAATATGGGGGACTACCCAGAAACGGCTGCCAAATAATCACAATTAAGCTTAACCAGTTGAATCTGGCGGACTGTATGTAAAGAAGTCGTAGTGTGCACGGACTTTGGTAGCATACAGTACGGCCTAGAGTTCGCGTAACATGCCGACATATGCGGAAGATTGATACCCTTTGGTTAATCGGTATAGAGTAAGGTTGTAATACTGATTATTGTATAGTCTATTCAGAATTCGTTTCAGCTACGATACGATGCAGGCATTTTAATGAGATTCTTTCTGAACGCTAAGAAAACCTATGTTCTGTAAAAAGTATGCATTTTTTCATTGATTTTGACTGCCTTTATCAATTCAAATATATTTTATGGAAAAATTGCACGAAAAAATTATTTCTTGTACTCGGTTGGTAGCAAATGACGCCTACTTTAAATTTTATACCTAAAGAAAGGGTATTTTTTGGTTTTTAAAAAGTTTCTAACTATGAGCTTTATTAGGCTTGTGAGGTGTTCATTCATCATTCATCACACCCGTCAATTTATTAATGCTGGCTATAATTTATAGAGCTTGTTCCACATCTGTTGCAATATTTTTTGAGAACTATGTGACTTCTTCCCTAAACCGTAGGCGAAAACGTACTTTTCCTTAAACAGGAAGTACACAGCGCGCCGTTTGTAAACGTTAAATTCAAGCGTATCAATCAGTAGGTTTAAAAATTATTGGGCAATTTAAAAACATTTTTTAAACTGAAATATACCCCTTATTTAAGTAAAGCATTTAAAGAAGGCGTAATTTTCTACCAAACGAGTACAAAAAGGGATTTTTCGTGCATATTTTCCATGAAATATATTTGGATTTATAAAGACGGTCAAAAGATATGACAAAATGCAAACTATTTAAGTAGCCACTTTTTACAGAGCATGGTTTTTTTTAGCGTTCAGAAACAAGCCCGTTGAAAAGCCGGCATCCTATCGTAACTGAAACGACTTCAGCATAGATTACACGATAATTAGTATTTAATATAATGATTATTACAACCTTACGCAATGCCAATTATCGAAAGAGTATCAATCTTTCGCATATGTCGGCATGCTGCACGAATTCTAGGCAGTACCGTGAACACAATAACCTACCATGATTGAAATCTAGAAAACTGCATGCAAGGAAGTCGAAGTGTGTGTGGTCTTTGATTGTATAATATTAGCAAGGCCATCAGTGTCCAACTTAGAGGAAAAAACCGAGAAACATTTTTATGTTGCTTTGTCAAGGAAACTAACTCACAAAGGCGTTCCTCTGTAATTTAGTAACATATTTCGAGGAAAATAGGGGCTAAGGCGTCCTAAAAATCTTGGGATGGATGTCTTGTCTCAGGGTACTGTCTTAAAGGAAAATAACTAGGAGTACATCAAGGCCACACCCAAGTTAGGAACAGAAAGGCTGGACATTTACTGACAGCTCCTTTGTGATTCACTCATACAATCTACCTTCTAAGAGAGAATATACAAAACTCAGAATTCAAGATTTTAAATAAAAGCGCGAAAGAGTTATCATTGGTAGTGCAATAGACATACGCTTAGCCCAAGGGCTTGTGTCTTACGGTTATAGTTAGGGTGAGGGTCATATATAAAGAAATAAGTACATAGCCTATATAGTTTATATATAAAGGCCGAGCCAATGATAAGACGGCTAGACTGCTGCTGGAAAATTGGCCTTCGACTGGCACACTTAACAGAGTCATAGACCTTTATCCGGCCTATCAGGCGGTACGCATACGGCTCGAGTCAGTTTGAAAAAGGCCAATAGGACGGCAAACCAAACTCGAGCATGGAATAAA